AAAGAGGTCCTTGACAGTAGATTTTCCCATTGCAACACATCTTTGATTTCTTAACTATTGCTACCAAGGATGTTTATTATGGGTCCAAATGAAATTATTGACAATTTCAGTCTTGTCTTCATATATCATAATGTTGCCTCCTGGTCTAGTGTGAGGATTTTTGTTTTCTTGTTGTTGAGGTGCAATCCACATTGAAGTCTGTAGTCTTTGATCTTTAATAAATGCTCCTATGAGGTGGCTGATATTGCTATTTGATGGGTGAAACAATGCAGACTGTCATTATACAACTAGTGACTAGGGAGGCAACCTGTGAACACAGATCTATTTCAAAGCCAACTATACTATGCTCTGAAGGTCTCTAAATGGGGGAAGGTAAGTCTTCAATTCTGATAGATACTAACATCAAATTTTCATATCTTAATAATATTTCAGTTCAATATCTGAAGGTCCAGTGACTTAAATGAAATTTTTATTTGATACTGGTTTGCTCTGGGAGGGCCTTTGAATTTAAGTCAGTTGTTACCATGTTTTGGAGGAACATTCTTCTAAGTGATACAGCACTCTTCTGTCAATATGCTGTACTGATGTAACCTGGGGCTGCTGTGACGCTGAACCTTGTGTCATTGGGTTGTAAAATGCCATAATGGTTACCCATGGTGGACAGTGGTGGAGCTCCCAGTTTAAGACAGGTTTGGAAGCAGGAGTGGCATCCACTTCCTAAACAACATGCCTCTTGAAACTCTATGAACTTTGATAAGCGATGGTAGATATCGAAAGACTTCAGGCCTTTTGTTCATAGGGTCATTATGAGCTGTGCTCAACTTAACGGCAATCAACAACAACACAAGTGGTTTACTTACAAAGTTCATATACCTTGTTTTTCCACACAGGATCTTCCCTATTTCTTTGATGCACCTGCCCTCTACCTATCAAGTTGTGTGATCCTATGATTACTCCCCTGCCCGTCCTCACTCCTCTGCTCCTACCCTCCCCCCTTGGATCCTCATACACATTTTTCTAGTTATCTTTCTATTTCTACAATAATGGTCTTATTAAGTATTTGTCCTTATGAGACTGAGTTACTTAGCATAATACTCTCCAGTCCCTCCCAAGTTAGGTAGTGATTTTAAAAATCATTGCACCTGTACACTGCATAGTATTCCATTGTGTGAATGTACCACTCAGTTGTGTTTGGACATGTGGGCTGTTTCCATGTTCTTGTGAAAGTAAATAGTGCTGCTATGACTATTGGTGTACAATTCCCCATTTATGCCTCAGTTCTCATTTTCTTGGGGTATTTTCCAAGCAGTGGAATAGCTAGATCATATGGAATTTCTGTATTCAGCTTTTTGAAGAGACACCAAACTGCCTTCCAGGGTGGTTGTGCCATTTTACAGTCTCACCAACAGTGTATAAGAGTTCCTATCTTGCTACATCTTCTTCAACATTTCATTATTATTTGCTGGCCTGTTATACTTTTCCACTGCTACTGGGATGGAATGGTATCTCATTATGGTTTTTATTTGCATCTCTCTTATTGCTGGTGATGAGCATTTCTTCATGGGTCTGTTGGCCGTTTGAATACCTTCCTCTGTGAAAAGTCTTTCTATGTCTTTTGCCCACTTTGTAATTGTGTGATCAGTCTTTTTCTTGTAGAGGTCCATGAGTATTCTATACACTTTTGATACAAGACTCTTGTCTTAAATGATATTACTAAATGTTTTTTCCCAGTCAGTAGATTTTCTTTTCACTCTATTGAAAAGTTTTTGATGCACACATGGATTTAATCTTTAGAAGTTCCTGTTCATTAATTTTATTCTCCCCAGATTATGCATTTCTGGCTGTATTTGACAGACTCTTTAGACTACAGACTAGGCCTTCTAAGCTTGATCCCAGTTAGTCTCTGATGAACTTTATGGTTTGGGGCTTTACTCCCAGGTCTCTGATCCACCGTGAGTTGATCTTTGTGCATGGTATGAGATGTGAATCCTGTTTCAGCTTTCTGCAGGAGCAGTCCAGTTTTGCCAGCACCATTTGTTGAAGAGGTTGTCTTTTCCACATTTGATAGGTTTGATTTTCTTGTTAAACTTCAGTTGACAGTAAATAGGTGGGTGTATTTCTGGGTTCTCAATTTTGTTCCACTGATCTATGTGTCTGTCATTGTACCAGTACCCTGCTGTTTTGGTTACTACTTCTGTGTAGTAGCTTTTGAGGTCAAGGAATGTTATGCCTCCCACTTTGTTTTAGTTTTTTAGAAGTGGTTTTCTTAGTCGGGGTCTCTTTCCTCTCCAAAGAAACTTGATAATTTCCCTTTCGATTTCCTTGATAAATTAATTTTGTACCTGGATTATCTGGATTGGGATTGCATTGAACATGTAGTTTGGTGGGATTGCTTTTGTTGTGATCCTCATTTCACCATATTGGGTCTTCCTATCCATGAACAGGGTACATTTCCCCCGTTTATTTAGGCCTTTAATTGTGTCTGATAGAATAGTTCTGTAGTTTTCTTTGTATAGCCCTTGGCGTGTCTAGTTAGGTTTACTCCCAAGTATCTCAATTTGGGGTTGGCTTTTGTAAATGGTATTGCATTCTTGGTTTTCTTCTCTGAGTTCTCTTTGTTACTGTAGAGGAATCCCTCTGGTTTTTAGGCTCCTGGCTGGTGGTGGTGTTCCTGATCTCCACAGTGTCTGCCAGATGTTCTGGGATCCCAGTCCACTGCCTGTGCATTGGTTCTGACCCTCTGTTGGGTTTTCAGGTTCTCCTAGGATACAAACCTCGGACCTTTCAGTTAGCATCCCAGCTCGTGATCACACCATCCGGGTTCCTTCCTTTGAAGGTCAGCCAGCTGCAGTTTGTTGACTTCTGCCATGGGTCTTCATGCCAAGTAAACCTCATGTAGCACATCTATTATCTAGGGCATAGGAGCCTAGGTACCTTAGTAGGTTAAGGGTTGGAAAGTGAACGGAAAGGTCAGCAGTTCAAATGCACTTAGTGCTCCACAGGAGAACGATGAGGCAGTCTTCAAAATCTCTCCTCGGGGTCAACATGCGTCAAAGCGACACCAGATCCACATCAGTGCACTCCACTGGTTTGGTCTGCTGTTAACACGCTCAGCCACTAATGAGAGATTTGAGTTCATTCAGAGGTGCAGCAGCAGAAAGGCCTGGTGATCTTCTGAACCCACCCACCCTAGTGTAGTTCCGCTTTGACAGCACTCCTCCCACTTCCTCCCTGGGTTTCCTGTTTCCATCCTTCTTCCCTGCCCCTTCCTGCCGTCCGAGGTCTGATTTTGGAATCTGCCGCTGGGTCTCCTGTGCTTTCCTATTCGGAGGATCAGCTTCTTCTCCACTGTCACTGCCTTTATCTTCGGTGTCACTCGCCGGGTCTTAAGGGTTTCTTTTCCGCCTGCTCTTGGGCACTGCAGACTTGGAACTGGCCTGTAGCTGAGCCTCCAGCAGGTTTTTTAGAGGCATTAGATCCCACGGGGCAGCTGGTGGATGTGACCATGTACCTTTGAGTTGGCAGTTCAATTCTTTACCATTATGCCATTGGAGCGCTCTTTTTCTTGTCTAGGTTTTCCTTTAATTCCTTCAATTTGAGCCTGACAGCCTCAAACATTTCTCAAGTCAAAAGCAAACCACATAAAAATACTCTGTTCACCTCACGTAGACTGGGCGAATGCTGGTGGTGGAGTTACACCGCTGACCCGAAGCCTGTGTCTCTGGTGGTTCAAATCCACCAGCAGCAACTCTGTGGAAAGATGGGCCATCTCCGCCTGTGTGGTTTGTGGCCTATGGAAGCCCACTGGAGGGTCAGCGAGGGCCAGTCCTGACCCAGTGACGGGAGGGTTAATACTACAGGTGCCTGTTAGGGTATGGATCTGACGTCACCAGACACAGGTGCGTTTCATTTTCATTAATGTTGAAATATGACTCTTAGGAGCACAGCAGGTGAAACAGTTGTGTGTAAGGGAAGTGGAATGATTCCTGCTCTGGAACGTGCTTGTTTAGGAAAAGCATTTCACCCATGTGGTGAGAAAGCACTACATTCGGCCCGACTCGTTTGTTATCATTGAGTCGGCTCCGGGCACAGTGACCCCATGTGACCCCAAGTCAGGAGAGAGTGGGGCTCCTGGCACGGTGACCCCAAGTCAGGGGAGAGTGGGGCTCCGGACACGGTGACCCCGTGTCAGGGGAGAGTGGGGCTCCGGGCACGGTGACCCCGTGTCAGGGGAGAGCTGAGTTCCAGGCACAGTGACCTCATTTTGAGGGAGAGCTGAGCTCGGGGCATGGTGACCCTGTGTGACCCCATGTCGGGGGAGGGTGGGGCTCTGTGGGTTTCTGTCACTTTCAGAGGCTTTTCACCTCTGGTGACCCCAGGTGGGTTCAAACCACTAACCTCTCAGCTTCCAGGAGGCCCCTGGGAGGACTGTAACCTCCAGGCTTCAGGTTAGCGTGGCGGCGTTAGCCATGATGCAGCCCAGGGGCACGAGTGGAGCCCTGGTGCATGGTGGCTAAGCCTGAGACATGGTGCCAAATTATGGTAGTTCAAGTTTACCAGTCGTTCTGTGAGAGACAGACGTGGTGCTCTGTGCCTTCAGGAAACTCTGAGCAGTCCTGTTGTGTCCTGTGAGCGGGCATCTCCCCAAGGGTAGTGGGTGAGGGGCCGGGACGGGCATCTCCCTAAGGGCACTGGGTGTGGGGGTGGCTGGGATGGGCAGGTCCTTCTCTGTCCTGTGAGTGGGCATCTCCCTAAAGGCACTGGGTGTGGGGGTGGCACAGTCGTGGTCACTGTTAGCCACCTGCCTCTGAATTGATTTGTGCCCTGGGGGTCCCCACATCTCCGTGTAGCACTGACTCCACAGGGAGCAGACAGCCAGGCCTTTCTTATGAGGTGCTTCCAGCTGGGTTTGAACCACCAACCTCTTGGCCAGCAGTTGAGGTCTTACCTGGGGGAGCTTTCTCCTTTGAGTAGGTGACCAAAGGCACCCCTCTTCTCAGGTGGACACCAGGCTGTCCCAGTTCACAGACCCCAGTGTTTACCTGTGGGATGCCCACCACAGCAAGCGGCTGATTAAAGTGGAGGGTGTGCTGACCAAGAGGAGAAAGTCCTACTGCGTGGACTTTGCTGCCATCCGGGCCCAGGTCACCCTGCTGCAGAACACCGGCGTGACCCATTTCCTCTTCTCCCTGAACTGGGCCCTTGTCCTCCCGCTGGGCAACCAGTCCCAGGTCAACCACACCGCCCTGCGCTTCTACCGCTGCCTGGTCAGCGAGCTGGTGCGTGCCAACATCACCCCAGTGGTGGCCCTGTGGCAGCCGGCGGCCCCCCACCACGGCCTGCCCGAGCCCCTGGCGCAGCGTGGGGGCTGGGAGAACCCGCACACGGCCCTGGCCTTCGCCGACTTCGCCCGGCTCTGCTTCGCCGAGCTGGGCCAGCTCGTGCGTCTCTGGATCACGCTGAACCAGCCGTCCACCAGGAACACCAGCTACGGCGCTGCGCACAACCTGCTGCGGGCGCACGGCCTGGCCTGGCGCGCCTACGACGAGGGCTTCCGGGCCTCGCAGAACGGCCGCGTGGCCATCGGCCTGCAGGCCGACTGGGTGGAGCCCGCCTGCCCTTTCTCCCGGGAGGACCGCGAGGCGGCTGAGCGCGTGCTGGAGTTCGACATCGGCTGGCTGGCCGAGCCCATCTTCGGCTCCGGCGACTACCCGCGGGCCATGCGGGACTGGCTGCAGCACGGCGGCGGCCTCCTCCCGTTCTTCACGGCCGAGGAGAGGAGGAGCATCCGGGGCTCCTTCGACTTCCTGGCCCTCGGCCACTACACCACTGTCCTGGTGGACCAGGAGAAGGAGGACCCCAGCAAGTACAACGACTTCCTTCAGGTCCAGGAGCTGACCGACACCACCTGGCTGCACTCGCCCGACCAGGTGGCCGTGGTGCCCTGGGGTCTGCGCCGCGTCCTGAACTGGCTCAAGGCCAAGTACGGAGACCTCCCCATGTATGTCATCGCCAATGGGGTTGATGACTCACAGGACACAGAGGACAGGCTGCGGACACACTACCTGGGCAGCTACCTGAACGAGGCCCTTAAAGGTAAGCAGCTCCCAAGGGTCCTTGGATGTGGGGCCTGGTGATGGTCAGCCGGCCTCCACTGAGTGACCCTCAGGTGTCCAGACCTCTTGATGGTCAGCTGGCCTCCACCAAGTGACCCTGGGGCATCCAGGCCTGGTAATAGTCAGCCGGCCTCCACCGAGTGACCCCCAGGTGTCCAGGCCTCTTGATGGTCAGCTGGCCTCCAGCTAGTGACCCTGGGGCATCCAGGCCTGGTGATGGTCAGCTGGCCTCCACCGAGTGACCCCCAGGTATCCAGGCCTCTTGATGGTCAGCTGGCTTCCACTGAGTGAGCCCTGAACATGTGGTGTCCTGATGGCCAGCTGGCCTCCACTGAGTGAACTCCAGATGAGAGTTGGACCCCACAAAGGGTTTAGAGCAGTCGATTTTTCAGAAGCAAACCATCAGGGCTTTATCCTGAGGTTCCTATAGGCAAACTTTTTTGTTACAGTACGGGAGTTCTCATGGCCCAGTGGTAAGGAATTGCACCACCAACCCAAAGGCATGCAGTTCGAATTCATCAGTTGTTCCACTGGAGAGGGTAGGCAGTCCCGTCCCAGGCAACTTACTGCCTCTGGAAACTTGCTGGAGGGTCAGTGATGGGTCAGTTCTGACTTGACAGTGAGCTGCCCCCACCGCAGTGGTTCAGTGGTTAGACACTCGGCTAACTGAGCTGATTGAACCCATCAGCTGCTCTGCGGGAGAGAGGCCAGGCCCCTGCTCTCTCAGAGGAGCCCAGGATGTCCCCCCCACCCCAGGGCAGCTCCCCTCCGTCCTCCCGGCTACTGTGCGCTGTTGACTCCAGGCAAATGAGTCCGGTTGGTTTCGGTTACTTGTTAAGCAACCCCGTTGTGGGGCTGCCGGACGCCCGTGTCCGCTCTGACTCCTTGTGACGCTGTGTGAGAGAGGAGAACTTCTCTGTCAGTGTAAAGATCAGGCTCCTGACCAGGAGGCTGGCGGTTCCGATTTACCAACTGCTCCGAAGGAGAAAGACGGGCAGGTGTCCTGGAAAGATTTCCAGCCCCTGGAGAGACGGGGTTGGCAGGCCTGACCCGACGGCAGGGGCTGGGGCTGGGTAAGGTTTACAGGAGCAGGTCAGCAGGCCTGCGTGGCCTCACAGCACAGCCCTTTCCGTCAGCAGCCTGTGAGTGGCTGTGAGTGGCTGTTGGGTCGCTCATTCCACCACCTGGTCCCCTTGTCTAAAGCAAGCCCACTGCTGCTCGTGTGCCCCCTCAGTGACTGCCAACCAGCGTCTGATGCTGGGGGTCTTCCCTGGAGGAGAAAGCCCAGCTTTCTGTCTTGGAACAACCAGGGGATTTGAACTGCCACCGTTCAGTTGGCAGCCTGGTAACATGTTACGCACCACACTAACAGGACTTGTTTAAAACGAAATTCATTGCAGTCTGAAATTGTATTCAATTGCACTGACAGTTTCTGTGAGCTCGGACGGTGTAAACCAGAGAGCTTTGTTCTGCATCAGAACAGACTCGATGGTGGGGACGTTGCAGCTTGGTGGTCCTGCTAATTCAGGATGCCAACAGCAAGGTCAGTGGTTCAAACCCACCTGCTGCTCTGAGGCAGAAGCATGAGCTGTCTCCTCTGGGAAGGATTTCCACCCTCAGAAACTTGACTGGAGTGAGGGGTCATCATCAACTGGAGTGAAGGAGGGGACAGTGGGGTTTGGTGGCATAGTGGTTATGTGCTGCATTGCTAACTGAAGGGTTTGAAGTTCAAACCCACCATTCGCTCCTCACTAGAAAGGGGGGGTCTCCTGGGTGAAGATCTGCAGCCCCAAAAACTTGCCAGGAGGCCGGTCTGCGTACGTGTGGTTGGCATTTTGGTCACTTCTCTGCTCTGTTTGTCCGTAGCTTACACGCTGGACGGCATCAACCTCCGCGGATACTTTGCTTATTCGCTGAGCGACCGCGGGGCCCCCGGCTTCGGCTTCTATCGCTATGTGGCCAACCAGCTAGAGGCCAAGCCTTCCGTGAGCCTCTACCGACGGATCATGGAGGACGGCGGCTTCCCGGGCGCTGGCAGCCCGCAGCGGGCCTGTCCCCGAGAGCTGCCCGCGTGTGCCCAGTGCGGCTTCTTCCAGACGCGGAGGACGCTGCTGGCCTTCGTGGCCTTCCTCGTGCTCCTGCTGGCTGCTGCCCTCGCCCTCATCTTCTGCTACTCCCGGAGGGGGCGCGGGGCCTGCGAGTAGACACCACTCAGTGCCTGCGGCCAAGCGTGGGCCTCCTGCACCTGGGGGGGACCCTGGGGGCGCAGGGGGCGAGGTTGGCGGTTTGAACCCACTGGCCACTGCTCTGCGGGAGCGATGAGGCCACCTGCTCCGGCAAGCAGTGTTGTTGTTGTTGGTGCCACCAAGTTGACTAGCAAGCTCGTGCACCACAGCTCGGAACCCTGCGTCCTCCTGCACCCTCTCGTCTCCCTGGGCTGAGTCCGTCTTGGTGAGGGTCTCCTTCACTGACCACCGACTTTTCCAGGCGCCATGCGGACGGCAGCCTTACAAACCCACAGACCTTCTACCTTGGCCCGTGTGGTCGCTGTGCGTCGGAATCAGCTCGACAGAGCAGCTGTGGAGTTTGTGTGGTTGGGACAGAGCCATGGAGGTGACGGGCAGCGGCTGGGTGCCACCAAGGCTGTTCCGACTCTCAGTGACCCCATGTGCCAGGGCAGAGCTGCCCCACGGGCTGATGTGTCCCCAGGGACAGGTCGCTGAGCCTTTCTCCCGTGGAGCTGCTCGTGGGTTGAACAGCTGCTCTCAGTAGACAGTGTTCTCGGGGCACCTTCAGAGTCACTACTTACTGCCTTCCGTCGGTTCTGACTCCCGTGACCCTGCAGGGCAGAGGAGAGCTGCTGTTGGAGTTTCTGAAATCTTTCTGGTTCAGACGGCCTCATCCTTCTCCTGCAGAGCCCCTGGTGGGTTCAAACCACCAACCTTTTCTATAGCAGCCTGTCTGCTAGGGGTCTCTGCTAGATTCACCAGAGCATGGTCATCCTTACAATGGAAAACCCGTGTGTGTGTGTGTGTGTGTGTGTGCGCGCGCGCGCGCGCGCGTGCACGCGCACTCATCCCTCAGCCTGAAATCAACCACAACTGGGTGAGACCCGCGTTGCTGTCTGTCCTGACGCCCCAGCACGCTGTGTGACAGGCAGAGCCCCCACCCCAGCTGTAGGGTCCTCATGACCTTGGTGGGAAGGAAGGTGACGCTGGCCGCTGTGGGGTGGAGTGTGCTGTTAGAGGAAATGATTCCACAAACTTGAAGGGAGAAATCATGAGGCTGATGGTTCAAACCCACTCAGGAGCTCTGGGAGAGAGGACTGTATGTCTGTCCTGTAAAGACACCAGACAGCCTGGGTCTTTTGGGGGTGGCTCTGCCTGTCCTTCAGGCTCTCTGTGAGCTGGAACTGGCTGGCATGGATCTGGTGCGTGCTCTCTCTGTATGTTTCTGTGTGTGTGTGTTTCTTTCTCTGTGTATGTTTCTCTGTGTGTGTGTTTTTCTCTGTGTCTTTCTCTCTGTGTTTCTCTCTCTGTGTATGTTTCTCTCTGTGTCTTTCTCTGTGTGTGTGTGTGTGTTTCTCTCTCTCTCTCTCTCTCTCACGCTCTCTCTCTGTGTTTCTCTCTCTCTCATTAATGGAGGAGCCTTGTGGTTCCATAGTTTAGAGGTGACGTCTGATCCTGTAGAAATGCCTGCCCAGGTGGCCTTTGGGGAAGCTCTACCCTGCCATGTGGGGCCATGACGAGTTGGAATTGACAACAACTTGTAGCCACCAATGTGAAGCTTCTCACAGCTGACCCCTCAGGCTTTCGCAGGCTGTGAGTCCCACCGCAGGACACTGCCCGTCTCTCTCCCCATCTCTCTCGAGGAGCCGTGGGTGGGTTCAAACCTCAGTCTTTGACTTGACAGCGCAGCTCCTCATGAACCAACAAGAACAGCTGCAGCAACGGCTCCCGTGGCAGCAGATGGCCAGGCTTTGCTTCCATGGCCCCTCTGGCTGGTTCGAACCCCTAACCTGGGTGCTAGGAGCCGGGTGCAGACAAGTCTGGGCTCTTGAGGGCTGTATCTTCTTGGCGCCTCACTAAGGGCCTGCAGGTGCTGTCTGCTGAGGGACCAGTGTGAAGCCGGAGGTGCTGGGCCACTCAGGGGACACAAACTGACCTCTGGAGACCACAGTGGCCACGGGTGGGGGTGAGAGGCCGGGAAGAGTCCTCTGTGTGTGCTGATGAGTGATCTGGTGACAAGTCCTTCCCTGCGAGGGCAGATGGCCTCTGCAGGAGAATGACAACGTGCAGTAACCATGGTCCCAACAACTGTCTCCAGGTTCCTGGGACTGTCTGGGGGATCCGTCTGAGGTCTCAGAGCTGGCTGGTCCCGTGAGGCTGGACGGCAAGCTGGTGACCCCCTTCCCTTGCCGCCCCTTCTGTGGAACTAACTGCTGACCCAGTTTTGACCCTCGCCACCCTGACCCACTTCCGCCCAGTCTGTTCCCACTCAGGGTCACCCACCATTGGTGACTGAGTCCTTACAGAAGCAAACGGCTCCTGCTTTCTCCCGCAGAGTGACTGGTGGGTTCAAACCCCCGACCTTCCGCTTAGCAGTGTGGCAATATCACAAGCTGTGTCACCAGGGTTCCTGTACCCTTCACTGTTCCTTACATACCACTTCACTTGCTGATCTGTGGACAGGGAAGTGTCTCTGTTTCACAGAATCTGATGGATTCTTGTGGTGCAGCGTTTAAAGCGTGTGGCTGTTAACCTGAAGGTTGGCGTCCACGGCAGAACAACGGGGCAGCCTGGTTCTGTAAAGACGGCAGCCTTGGGGACCCCGTGGGGCGGTTCCCCTCTGTTCTGTAGAATCACTAGAAGTTGGAACTGAGTTGGTGGCAGTGAGTTTTAGGACTTTTCTAGATTAGCCAATATCTCATCAGACAGGCTGTGCAAATACCTGGCTGACTCGGGGTGAGAGCGTCAGACAACGTGGGCGCTCTGTCCATTCCCTCTGCATGCATGGTGTGGGGTGATACGCGTCAACAGTGAACTCTCACGGCGCTGTCTTAAAAACAGAACTTCTTTTTAAAATGGGAAATTAGAAAAAAATGATAGTTTCTATACATATATATTTTTCTGATTGTAAGAGTAATGATATATGTTTATTGCAAGAAATTATTTAAAATACATAAACTACGTATAAAGAGAAATAAAAGTGATCTATAAGTATAGTGAAAAAGATGTAACAGAAACTGTATGTAAAGAGAAATAAAGCTGATCTGTGGTGAACAGATATTTAAATGTAGACACTGTCTGTAAGGAGAAGTGAAGCTGGCTTGTGGCCTCGTGTCTGGGGCCTGTTCCCACCGTTTCCTGTGTGCTCGCTCTCTATCCGTCTTCTGCTCATATTGTACAGAGCTGTGCGTCTAGGCTTGTTAATTTTTACTGCTGAGAATTTCGTTTGTTATTAATCTTCAAAGGCCTGAATGTAATAGCTGCAGCATTTCTATGATAGGAATTTATCACAACCTCTCATTCTTAAATGTGGCACTAGTCTCTTAGCGCCAACTGCTGTTAAATGGTGAGCATTGTTTAAACGTTTTCTTGCTGCAGTGTTAACCCTAATTTCCTGATTGTGAGCCAATGTGCTCCAGGTGATTGCTCTCAGCAACCCTGGAGGCCAGAGGCCAGGTGCCCCAGTGGCTTTCCCGGGCTGTGAATCTTGGATGGGTAGAAGATTGCCCATATTTCTTCCTGGGAGCCTCTGGTGGACTTGAACTGCTGACCTTCTGGTTGGCAGCCCAATACATTATGCACTATGGCACCAGAGTCCCTCCCAGTGATGGTATAGATGAACCAGTGAATGCCTGCATTGAGCGTCATGTGCTTTCAAAGGACTAGCTGGGTGCAATCAAACTGCAAGAGCAGTTTTATGATGAGATGTGGAGCCAGTTCTGTGCCGCTGACAGAGGGGGTGAGAGTGACTGCCCACGAAGGCAGAGACTTTGATTGTACGTGCAGAGATTGACACGTTGTTCCAGATTTTGTTGCCTATACTCTCAGCATTAGCTACAAAATAAATGATTGTAAAGATGTTTAACACTGAGTAGTGCTGCTAACACCTCTGTAAAGAGAGCGTTCGTTTGACAGTCAATCCAGTGGGGTTTCAGAGGCTGTGCTTAGAGTGTGGGGGACTCTCTGTCTTCCTACGAAGAAGCAGGTAGATGCAAACTGCCTACCTTTGGTTGATAGTGCAATTCCCTATCCACTAGGCCACCAGCACTCCTTGTGTACTGACTGGACAGGAGGCCCTTGGGTCTAGAGGTGGACATAGAAGACATAGCCTGTTGGCATTGGTTTCTCCAGCATCTGTCCAATGTCTTATATAGTAAATGCTTTCGATGAACCAAATACAGCCAACCCTCCTCTTCTAAGTTTTCCTTGTTCATGGTTTCAGCCACCAGGAGATGGAAAATACACATGGAAAAGGGGGGAAACCAATTAAATTGTCAAGACAAGCCCTCGAAGGCTAAAGGGTATAAAGTGACATTCACATGCCATTTCCACAGGATCAGTCACGACAGGTAATCAGGAGATGATTTAAAGCCTGTGGGGGGATGTGTACAGATGATACACAAACATCGTGCCATTTTACAGGAGGGCTTGAGCGTCTTTGGGGTCAGTATCTGGGGTGAGGTGTCCTGGTGCCGTCCCCTCAGGTACAGGGTGACGACTGTATGTGAAAAGCATCTGAAGGAGCTGAGGTGGTCAGTACCTGGAGGATGGTGGTCTGAGCCCACCCCCGGTCTCCACCTGGTGTCCTGCTCCTGGGAAGATGTCAGCCTAGGAAACCTCACCTTGGGGCAGTTCTGTTGTGTCACCTGGGTCACTGTGAATCAGAACTGACCCCATGGCATCCAACAACAAGAATTAAGGATTAGCTCACACTCACCACCTTAGCCTGGGACCAACGTGCCCAGGAGCTGATGAAGGCCGCCGGCCTTGTCCCTCTGCCCTTCATGTTATCCTGCTTTGAAGATGCTGTGTGGTTTACAAATGGGAGGTTTGTGGTAAGCCGTGTTGTACAAGTTTACCAGCCTCATCTTTCCAGCAACACGTGCTCATTTGGGATCTCTGTCCCATCTGGCCGATATCACAATATTTCCAACTTGTTCATAATGCCATTGGGGCTTAATAGACCACCAAACTCA